TAATTTAATAAGTTTTATTACATAAGCTAATAATAACTCTTAAGATTATTCTCTGGATCTGCTTTAAGTTTGCTATATTTAAGATATAATTGTTTACAATGTTGTATTGTTGGCATTATTTGTATAGCTCATGCACAACTCATTTTGGATGACCTTCTCTTTCAGACAATATATTTATAACTAATATTAGTCTTAAAATTATGAAATTTATATTATCTTATAGAGAAGGAAATACACTTTAAATCTAATCCATTTCCTACAATAATGGTCCAGGAATTACCGCGCGCGACCATGGTCAACTTTGTCCCACTTTACATGACTTATACATTATTTCAGAAAAATAACAAAAATTAGTGCAATTTATGTCACTTTATGTCGAGACACGTGTTTTAGTTGTGATTAACAAAAAACAGTTATTTTAAGACAAAAGCAAAAAATATTTATGCATTCAAAAGTTATTTCTGACATCAAATCATATGCCTTTCAGGGAAAGAGATTATTGACAAAACAAACTAATACTGGAATTAATTGCAATTTTATTTAATTAAAAACAATATTTGCAAAAATCAAACAAAGTACCACTAAATTAGAATGCTACTAAATGATAATTAAGACTTTACTAAAATAATCATTTATACAGATAAATACCGTAATATTATAATAAAATATTGTTCAATTCAATTTCTGTAGTCAATGGCCGGACCGCTAGAAATAATTAATCGCTAAATTATAGTCAATAAAAATGAATTAGCACATCCTAATATATTGCGATACGTAGTCGAGCGTCGGCCCCGTTACTACCAAGGTGCGATTGAGCATCGCTTCCCGGTCTACTATCGTTAAGCTATAGTGAGCTAAATGAGACCCTTTTCGAGGGAAGCCCGACTCAAGGCTAAGCACTACACCTCTCGACTATTGATAATCAAGTAATGCTGTGAGAGTATAGCGGGCACAGGGGTCCGCCATACGGGTGCTTCGAATGCCGCCTCGATGTCCATATAATTTCAGAAACTTGGTTACGGAACTGTGGGTAGAATGGGGTTTCGGTGGAGTTCCCTCGTATTATACACGTGGGCACTACAATATATTGTAACGTCATGATAGAATTAAACTAAAAACATTTCAATTTCCCATAGAAACAACAAATCACCTTGAAACTACATTGAGGTATTACAAAATATAACTTCGACCAAAAAATTGCTAATAAAAAAACTTTTGAGAATAATCTCTTATTATTCCGAAATAAAATATAGAAAAACAGTACAATTTTCTAGAAAATATTGTTTGTGCATAAATAATAAAAGTCATCATTTCTTTGTTTTACATAAACTCTAGATTCACATTAAAAAACAATTTTCTTTAGACAAAAATGATGACGACTTCCAGAGATTTCACGGGAAAAGTAGTGCTCATCACCGGCTCGAGCGGTGGTATCGGTGCTGTCACTGCCGTAGAGTTCGCTCGACTCGGGGCTCAAGTGGTGGTCACCGGTCGCAGGAAGGATAGGGTGTCCGCTGTGGCCAAACAATGCGCTGAGGCGTCGCCTACCGGTGCTAAAGCCCTGGAAGTGGTGGCCGATGTCACCAACGATGATGACTGTCGCCGATTAGTCTCCGAAACAATTAAGACGTTCAAAAAGTTGGACATTTTAGTCAACAGCGCGGGTCGGGGTGTAGTGTCGAGCATATGGGACGGGTATTTCTTCGATACGTATGAGCTATCTCTGAACACAAACCTCCGGTCAGTCGTACGGTTGACTCACTTATGTGTCGAGCATTTGGAGAAAACTAAGGGTAATATCGTTAACATGTCGAGTGTTGCGGCTTTTAAACCGGTAATTGACTTATAAATAATGATATTTTTAATTAACTTATTTGCATTTTGGTTAAATAATAAGTGCGCACAAAATATTACTCAATTTACTTACAACAATACTGTATCAATAGGATCATATATCATAATATATCGTATTAACTTATCTTAATAATATATTATTTTCACATTTGAACTATCGCCGTCCCTTACTAGGTTACGTATTAATTTAATAGTCCAGTTCCTTTAAAAATGCTATAATTTAATTGTATGTATAGCGGGGACTGTATTCAATGACTATGGGAGCGATGGATATATTCACAAAGTGCGTAGCACTGGAGCTTGCACCCAAAGGTATCCGGGCAAACATTGTGAAGTATATTGATTAATGAGTTCTGCTTTAAAAATCAAATTAAATTTTAAAAATACTTTTTGCCACTAAAGTACCGGTGCCGTGAAGACCGAGTGGTTAGAGACCTTCCTAAACGTGACGAAAGCAGAATCGGACGAAATTCATGCGGCAATTGCCAAGAAGTACCCGTTGGGACGGGTGGGTCAGCCCATGGATGTGACTAAAGCCGTGTTGTATTTGACGTCAGATGACGCGTCGTTTGTGACCGGATCCAACCTCCTGGTCGATGGCGGCGCCCTATATGGGCACTCCCCCACCCCTACATAGTTATCAGATTATGACCACGTTTTCGTATTTTATTAATGGAATATTTTTAATCAAGTTTAATTTGTTAGATAATTTTGAGCTTTAGTTTTGTATTGACAATTCCTATAATTTATGAACAAATGTATATTTTTACTTTACATTTTGAATTAACATAAGAATATAAATAAAATAAACTTATGTAAACCGGGAGTTTTTAACGTCGGGAGGGAATGGGAGTTGACCATGATAAATTTATTAAATAAAAGCATAATTTTGATGAGATATTGATTGTTGAAATCTGAATTGTAGTTTTGAAAATATTGAATATTTAAGGAAACCTACCTGTGCTGAGCCACCGGGCCCGAATCGTGTTGTCTCCTCGGGGACTTACGTAAGATAAAAAACATAGTTGAGGTTGTAAAATATTTATTTTATATAAATTACTTATGGAAAGATGTCAAAATATATGCTCTAATTTAATAAATTTATCAAATATTTAAAATTATAACGGCATTACTTTTTAATGTGTTACAAATGAGCATTATATCTAGGATTACAACGAAAGTTTTAAATAATTAAATAAAGCCAAACCCCTCTGTAGGAGAATCCTCAATAGTGGAGGTTTGCTAACCCTATTTGGGAGTATTCACATTACAGGACTCCCGTCCCCCGGTCTGATTTTAACACTCCTATTCCCTCCCGACTTTTAAAAACTCCCGGTTTACATAAGTTTATTTTATTTATATTCGTATGTTATTTCAAAATGTAAAGTAAAAGTATACATTTGTTCATAAGGTATAGTAATTGTCAATACAAAACTAGAGCTTAAAATTNAAACTCCCGGTTTACATAAGTTTATTTTATTTATATTCGTATGTTATTTCAAAATGTAAAGTAAAAGTATACATTTGTTCATAAGGTATAGTAATTGTCAATACAAAACTAGAGCTTAAAATTGTCTAACAAATTAAACTTGATTAAAAATATTCCATTAATAAAACATGGTCATCTGATTACTATAAAAATCTATAGTAATAGGTTTGAAATCGTTTATCAGATATATAGCTCTAATTCCAATGTAATATAAAATAGCAAATAAATAACATTTAAAAAAAATTATATTCAATGTGTTATCTGAATCAAATGTTATTCATTTGCATTACATTTCAAATTAGTTCAATCATATCATTGAATATATGATATTTATTTATTTAACATCGATCCATATGTAGACTTTATAATGTTGTGATAGTAATCCCTATATTCCAAAAGAGTACTATAAAGGGGATCACAGCGTTGTGTATGTTGTCTGTGTAGGTGTTGTATGTGTTCAGTATCGACCTTTGCTGTCAGTCGATACCCCCTTCTTGTGCAGGGAAATCCGGATTCTCTCATCATGAGCCATCAGTGCCATAGACTCATGTATCACTGATCAGCCAGCAAACTGCAACCCGTAGTATAGAAGGGTTAGAAAAAACGCCTGTAATCCGAATCCGGGGATCGAATCCGAGCGCCTCAGTAAAGCTAGCGCTGCGCTTAGCCAACTGAGCTACGAGCCCAGTCCCAAATAAATAACATTGCTACATTAACAAATAAATTACTGTATCTGAGAATCTATTGTAATAATTGCTTCACGCTTAATATTTAGTAACATGGAATCACAATTGCTAAATAATAATCAAGACCAAATCAGTCGCAAGGTTTAGTATGCAATTTGTGTATTATATGGTTTTAATAACTTATATTTTTACATTAGATGAAATAGATTTACATTAAAAATTGATTTCTTAACATTAATTTTTTACCATTACTTAATACTCAAGTTTTACAACTTTTATAAATTATTAATAAAATTAGCATTGAAACCAACATTTACGCAGGGCTAAATTGAGATTGTTTTAGTAATCAAATATTATTTGTTAACTATTACATTGATTTTAAAATATAAGTCATAAGTTTTTTATTTCAATAATTATAAGATATAATTTATCTGGATACTTTATCTATTTAGTTAACATTAGTCTTAGGCTCCCGTTTCACTGGCGCCCCAATCATTGGCCAGATGTGAACTCAGATGAGCTCCGGTAGGCTTTAATAGCTGGAAGTGCTTCAAAGCGCTCACAGTATTGCGTGAAAGTGCGACACCTGTCGACGTTTGTGTAGTGCGCTCTCATGCCGTCCAACATCTCGTAGGCCATGAAGTCCACGTAAGACAACTGTCCACACAGCCATTGCTTATCCATAGCCGAGTACTTCACCAATAGAGTCAACTCTGTCTTTAGACTACCGGTGCAATAGGCTTTCCATTTGGCGTCATCGCCGCCATCATTGATCAAGGTCGCGAGAAAAGCCGTTTTTATGTCTTGGAGTTGTTGCTCAACCATCTCTTGCCGGCGAGTGTGGGCTCATCCCTGGCCACCAGTCTGTGCTTTCGGGCCAAGTATCTCATTATCGCCAGACTTTGAGTCAGTTTTATGTCTCCATATAATAGGAAATATTTGGGAAATCCAGACCTAAGTTAGGCTTTTCCGATAGCCAGGTATCTCTGTTTGTCTTATCATTGCGTTTCTCATTGAAGTCGACTCCGGCATACTTTAGGAGATACCGTATGGACTGAGCCCTACCCCTATGGTTTCAGTAGCCGAGGGTAGGTTTAGTTGACATCGTTTTCAGTGTACTTTTAGGTAAGTTTTAGTAAACAAATTATATAAATGTTTGGTATTTATACTACAAATAAAATCCTTGATATTTATTACTAAGTTATTTATTTTAACAATAACAAAAAATAAAACCAGGATCCTTTTGATTGCATACTAACGATGATATTATAATAGAATAGAAAGTTCTAGAATATAATAATTTTGTATTAAATTGCATCAAATTTTAAACATAGATATACCAGATAGATATAAAGTAAATATATTCTGTATAATTTAATTAAACTTATGATTCTGGTCACATTATATAATACTGTAGTATAAAATGTTATATTTCAGATTTAATTAAACACAATTTATTTTTTAAAATTCAAAGGCATAATTATAAATTATTGACAGGAATTTCAAAATCTAGAAAAACAGAATCTCGAAAACATAATCCCGAAAAACAATATCGAAATTTAAAAATCGTATCGTACTACACCGGAGTAACTAAAACATCCATATATACAGTATCTGATGTAGCATGATTATTACCTTGTGGAACCATTAGGTTGGGTTAGGTCACGCGCGTAGTACTGGCCCGGCCCGATACCGTTTTGTTACCGCTTACAGCTCTTCGCCTACAGCATAATATACCATCCCGGATGTGCTACATATATAACTTTAAAAGATGTAGCTATATCAGATATATGTGAATGTGCTAATTACTCCCGGTGTAGTGTTATTAATACAATTGTTTTAATTTCGAGATTATGTTCTTCGAAATTTTGTTTTTCGTGATTTTCATGTACTCTCTATGATACTATAGTATTATTAAATTAATCAACTTGTGTAATGGGCTTGATATAAATGTAAAATCGTTGTTAAGCAATAAAACCCGGATAACATAATATTGCTGATATCACGATAATTGAAGTCATATCACTCCCAATAATACGAAATAAATGAAACATTTGCTAATAGGGAACGTGTTTAATGTAAGCTCTATTGTCAATTTTTCTGAATGCAGTTTAAAACCTTTATTTGGAATTATTGCACTCATATTATAAGTATATATAATGTGCTAGTTTTCAAATAAATTAGTAAAATTACTTTTAATGGGGAACCTCGTTAGGTGTCAGCAAATTGTCCCAGGATAATCTGCAATAACATAAACTCTATGATCATATCTACCATTTGAATTGATTAAACTTTCCGAATATCACCAACTAATCCCGTAAATCTAATTATAGTCACTGCTGACATGCACATTTTACATATTAAATAGCATTATAAATATAGACGGCACTTCACCAATACTTTGACCGTAATTATCAGTCAGATTTTAATACAAATTGTGATTATATTTACAAAAAATATGTCTATGAATTCATATAAAAATATTACTGTATGATTGAATAGCCATTCATATTTATAATGTTATTTTATATGTAAAATGTGAATGTCACCAGTAACTATAATTGGATTTACGGGATCAGTTGGTGATATTCGGAAAGTTTGATCAATTCAAATGGTAGATATGATCATAGAGTTTATGTTAAAGCAGATTATCCTGGCACAGTTTGCTGACACCTAACGAGGTTCCCCATTTAGTTAAAAAAATCATTTTTTACAAAGCACTAAATCTACCCACCACCATTAATTTAGTAGAAAATGTCCGTTTCATACGACTTCAGTGGCAAAGTGGCCCTGGTGACCGGTGCCAACACAGCCGTTGCTGTGTCCACAGCCATACAGTTCGCCAAATCGGGCGCCAGTGTTGTGGTGAGCGGACAGTACGCCGAAAGTCGACTCACTACTGTAGCCAATGAGTGCCGCAGTACTGGTGCTCGTGTGCTGGAAATGGCGGCCGACCTGACCCGGGAGGAAGACATGCAAAAACTGGTTGACAAAACTATGGCGACTTTTGGCCGAATCGACATTTTGGTCAACTGTCCCGACCATCACGAGAACGCCTCCATTACTGACCCATCATTTATGGCTACCATGGCCTCCAGGTTTGTGTGCATAGTCTCCCTATACTTATAGGGAGACTATGCACACAAACCTGGAGGCCATGGTAGCCATAAATGATGGGTCAGTAATGGAGGCG